CACCCACCCCTTTCCTTTGGAGAAGGCGAGCACAGTTTTATTCTAAAAGGCGAGTAAATGCAATATGTTCCAAAGCGAAAGGCAGCAGCGACCTTCTGTTTTAGCGGGTTAGAAAGCAGCTGGGGAGAGGAGACGTGCGTTTCAGGTACAACGAGCAGCGATTCGGGCTCTCCGGGTTCCTGGAGGTAGGCTGTAGCAGGGGAAGAAGCGTTACCTTTCCTCACAGCCTCTCTGACCGGTTAATAGCTCGTATGTTGATGAATCGCAACACAGCCCCCTCAAAAAAGTCCTTTGTACACGTTGAATTATATATCTCTTATATCTAGGGTTTTCTTTAATAAACGTCAGTATAATTTCTTGCAGCTTGTCTGAATTTTCTGAAGCTCTGCAAAACCAAATATTACAACTATTGCCTTATTTATAATGTACAGGTGAGTGTTTAAGGTCTGGGAGTTTTTTTTTTTTTTTTTGCTTAAATTTATAAACAGGAAACCAATATCTTGTGTGTTCTCTTTTGCGATAGAGGGATTTTATTATACAAACCGGTGACCCCACGGGAACTGGCCGTGGAGGGGAATCTGTGTTTTGGTGAGTAAAACGTGTTTGTGTTACATAATTGACGGAGAAGTCGTATGGGAGAACAACGCTCCCACTTTAGTTATTTTCAGCTGGTTTTTGGCAGAACTGCTGACAGGAAGTAAAAACGTTGATGCAAAGCTTCTTTAGCTCTTATAACCATATACCTTTATAATTCATATGTGGTCTTTGGTCATCGCAGCTTTTGAGGGGAGCAGTGTGCTATCTCTGACTTTGGAAGTAAAAGTACAAGAAGTTGTGCATTGATTTCTGTTTATTTAAAAATGAGCAAATTACCCTAGGTTTGGTTTTGTAAGGTGAGTGTCGTAGCTGACTGCTCTGTGGAAGGCAAAATCATTCTCAATTGATTACTACCTTTGTTTTTTTGTCACCGAAAGTATTTAATTGTGAGGGAACGGAATACAGAGGCTGTGTTTAAACTCCTCTGTGTGTGAGAGAATAATCCTGTCACCCTAGGAATTTACCTGAGTTCTTTTTATCAAGCGCTGGGGAAGACAGCATACAGAGCTCAGTAGCTCAGCGTGAACACTTTCGTAAGTCTGGTCTGGCAGAGCGTCTTAAGTGCCAAACCTTGAACACGTTGGATCTGTGGTGATCCTGGAAGCAGTCTAATTGTGCTAAAGGCAGGTGCAGGTCTGGGTAAGTAAAGCTGCTAGGCCTGAGCTGTCTCTGCACAAGGGGTAGCTCAAGTTTTTTTTCATACTCTGTTCTATTACAAGGGTAGTTTTGATCGTCTTCTGAGGCTCATTGGTATGGCAGGTGGGGAAGTATGGTGTTCCAAAACAGTGACAGGGTCTGTTCTGCTACTAGTATGGAGAACGGCAGTACACCTTTTCTACCTGTTCGTTACTGCTGAATTCGACAGAACTGAGATTTCCGTTCTTACCACACAGGAAACTGATATAGGCAAACTTCAGTTTGAATTCTGTCTTCATAGATGCTTACACACGTTTAGTGAAATGATTCAAAATCAACGCTGTTCATTAATTTTGGACAAATGCTGACCATGCCTCTGTTGATGATGGAGTGAGACAAAATGAGTGACATCAGGATCAGG